ATACGTAAAGTTTTAGTGTATTGACCGATATTTGAACTTTGTACAGTAGGCCTACATCATCAATTATTCCATCATGCTTGTACGTTTTTCGCTTGTTTGATAACGTAAAGTGCAATTCCTGGATCCTAAATAAATTAGCTAGATTTCTCCATTCATTCTTAACGATACATTAAATATTTTTGCTTGAATTTCTACAAGACTTATAATGAGTACTTATGAGTAAATTTCAAGTGGAAATGAATGCGTATCGGGTAAACCCCCCCCATCCCAATTTTGGAATTTTGTGTCCCCTAGTAAAATTGCCACGCTACGCCACTGCATAACACGCCTGTAGCCAGGTTTTGGTAAGGGGAGGGGGGATTACTGCAGTTTCTTTAAATTTCCAGGAAATCAGTTTATGCATTCCGCTTATGTTTTTCATCTAAAAAACTTCGATACACTTTAAACCTTTTATTGACTATGAGATTGCACCATATAATCCCCAAAAAATATTTCTCATTTTCAAGGATAATCTATGCATTTAACACCCAGGTATTTTTTATTTTTTATGATGTCAGAGGAAATGGTCGTATATAAAAGGTTGTCAATATTTCGATGACAAACTTTGTTTGGCTCGGCTAAGATGAAGCTCTCTTTTAAGAAGCGAAGTCGAACGTATGCAAAGGGTAGATTTCAAATAATTTTTAAAACAAATTCTTTATTATTAATTCATATTGGCCATATTGTGAATGTAGGACCTCTTGGAAACTGAACTTGATCAAATGAACATGGCTGTAAACTTTTTAGTTCACTTCAATAGTAAATACATTTATCTCTTCTATGTTTACTAGAAAAAAAAACTGAACAATATAATTATGAGTTAAATGAGTACAAGAGAACCAGAACACACAAGATCAAAATGATCACCCAGTTTTAAGACACGGCCTTTCCATACACAACTGAATGGCTACACTGTAACAAATACCAGTTTCATCCACATCAACAACCTGTGATCAACATCATGCAGAGAACAAACACAAGTTTATCATGTTGTTCACATAAAGCATAGCCTGCTCTCGTGCAATGGCGCAAGCAATAAAGCTGCGTAGTGTGGAAAATACCTTTTACTTTTGAATATCAACAGTACATAAACATATGATTCATAATTAATGCCAGATACTATGAAAGGGTTGACTAAAACACAACATGTGATCTGTTAAATATTAATTATAAACAAAGTTGTAGCTTAACAATAATACAGGGACTAACCCTCATAACAAAAATCTGAAAATGACCTTCAAACATGATCTCTCTAACAACACAGATTTACATTCAAAATTCAAAGGTTAATAACCTTAGTTTGCACTTGATGTAGCTACAGATCAGGACTGAATGGTGCTACTCTCAACTCATAGACTATCAGTAAATATATATGTATCAGTAAATATATGTGTATGATTGTGAAGGAGCGTGATTTAATATAATATTTGGTGACTCGCTATATATAATTGATTGATGAACCGAGATGAATTTACCAGAAAACTTGGACTTATCCTCAGATAACCTTGTACATTCACTCAGTATCAAGTATACATGTACTCTTTTCCAAGCATCTGCCACACAAACCTTCATAAGAGCATGTTCATAATATTCTATTTATATTTCTAACCAATCCCTAAGATTTCTAGGTCAGATTAGGTTAATGTGCTAATGTGCTAAATTTAATAAATTAACCCATTAAGTAGTAAGTATATATTAATGATTGACTTTAGATTATCACTTGGATTAACCCAAATATCAGGGTCATTTAACTTAAGTCCCCATCTAACGAAAATATGTTTTTATCATTCATTCTATTTTTCATGACTTAAAAATCAGTTCAGAGTGTTTTGAAAAAAGGAAGGAAGCCCCTTAAAGGCAGAATCAGATCTATAGGGGGTGACAAAATTACAAGCAACTTGTCTAATTGACCAACCAATCTTTTCCTTACAATATCAAATACAATATCTCCAAAAAGATTCACAATGTGTAATACATTGGTGAAGTTATTAATGATTCAAAGTACAAAAGTGGGTGAAAAATGTTTAAATTCTCCCAAATAATAAAAATGGTAACCATTCTTATAGAAAAATAATGTATTATTGTAAAAATCTTTAGTTTTCCTGGAATAAAGTATGAACTTTTGTGTTTTTTAGAAAATAGACATGACAAGGAATGACATGAGCCAAAAATATTTTAAAATTGGAACAATTTTTTGTTTAGCCTGCTTGCTATCTCTGATTCTCTCTTTAATTACCAATATAGCATAGATGGAGGAATTTTGCGATTAAAAAATAAAATTTCTTGGACATAATTGAACATAACTTGCCTTATTCATAGAGCATAGTGAAAATAAGCCGACTTAAGCCTATATTAGATGATGTTATGCATACATGCGTGTTAAAACATAAAACTATTGACAAAAAAACAAAAAGTTCCTAAACATATCTAGTAGAGGTGTAACTCGCCAGAAAAATCCAACTCGAGTTCAACTTGCCAAATATTTCCAAAACTCAAGTAAAACTCGAGTTCATTCATTCCGTCCAGTACATATTGTAAACCCGGGTATACAAAATTACTGTAACTTTAAGCGGCAAGATTCTCTGGTTTAGTCACATCAAAAAGGTGTTTAACACGTTGGGGCCATAAGAAAGTGTGGTATTCATTGCAGTTATCTCATATTTCAATCAAAAACGATCTGGTATAGACGTCGCCGCATACGGTAAGGACGAGAGATCGCTAGAATCTAACCAAACAATATTTTAGAAAACCCAGAAGGGCCCCTCAAATTAATGAATGGTTTTCCCGGATTATCTTCATTATTTATACTAAAGACTGCTGTTTATCGATCTAAAGTTAAGACTTATGATCTTAATTTAATGATAGATCATCTTTTTCATGTAAAAGTCGTGTAAACGACGTGAGAATAGGGGGACCATTTTTATTCAATTTTAGTGACTACTCTATTATCGCCCGCTAAGTTCCTTCGATATTCGATCTTTTTCTGATTTTTTGGTGTAACTCATCATTCCACGATATTTGTTGAACTTTGTGAAGCTTTCAGAGTGTTTTTTAGGTGACGGGCGCTAAATATGGCGATCATTGGTATATTTATTCCACTAATGAAGTAATGTTGCACAATCTCTGGGACCCGAATTCATTTTACATGCTTGCAAGATAGGCGAAACTCGCGAGTTGACTCGAGTTATAGCTAGCTCGCGAGTTGAAATAGATTGCGAGTTTCTAGAGGACAACTCGAGCCAATGTATAGGCAGCTCTGACGAGCTGTACTCGAGTTACTGACTCTGGAGTTACACCTCTAATATCTAGACTAGTACCGGAGCGTTTCCAGTTCACTGTGTTAACCAGGTCGCAGCGTTTCTTGAACATGAGAATGTCATCATTTTTAAGACTGGATTTTTGGTCATCAAATCACAATTACGATAATGTATGGTGTGTTGAAGCATTGAAATTTGACCAAAATATACGTTGGTGCTCTAGCCTCTAAGCTTGGCTAAATTAATCACACGTCTCGACAAAAGGGGTTTTGACCGGTAGAATGACAAATACGTTTATGAATTGTGATAACTATACTGCTCTTCCTAATTGATTCAAACGTCAACAGCCAGCCTTACCTTATTCTTCGGCCACAGAGTGTGGCCTTACACTATCGTCAAGCCCTGTTTGTTTTATTGCTTTTTACACTATCCCCTGTAGACTGTTGCTATGAATTAACTCAAATGTAATAAACATACCTTCATTGAACTTAGTATGTAGTCTTAGTTCATATGACCATCTACATCGGCTTTTATTTAGTCTCTTCTGAGAGCAATCTTTTGGAAAAGATCCTTTGGTAAAAACAGCCATTTTGTTTTTCACTAAATATCAACCTCAAGAGATGTTTTTATAAATGGCAGATTAAATGATTTTAAGTTTAGACGAAAGCATGCAATATCTCACAAAGGATAGTATTCATTTAGATCTGCATTCTATTTGATGGAATATTCTCATTATGATTTTTTAAATAACATCTAAAAAACATTACCCCAGAATCAACGTTATCACTAGTGCACGGTGGTCCACATGCGATGTCTTCTAGCCAAGTTATTTGGCTAGAGACTCGAGTAAAGTCAGCCAAGTGCAACATGAATATACATCGAATGGAAATAAGTAACTCATACTTACTCACTTCGAGAGCCATGTTAGATTTTGAAACTTATGCCTCTCAAACGGCGAAGTGAACAGCTCATCAATAGTGACCTTTGAAATCGAATTAAGTCGATCCGCGTTCTGCTCGGACATTTTCGTAAATCTCCGGAGGTTGTCCAAACCTAACTAATTCTCAAATTTCATTTCGTTCGTTGCGTATCTCGCACCTAGCAAACCGCCATATTGGAAATAGGTCTAAAAATCATTCACTCGATGAACAATTTACAAGTCTTGATCGAAAAAGAAGTATTTTAGCGCTCTAATACTTACACAGATTGATGATACTGATGTAAGACACAGTTAGAGACCAAAAGTAAGCCGCGGATCGACTTAATTCGATTTCAAAGGTCACAATCATTCAGCTGTCAAAATGCTCCGTGGGAAAGCTATCAAAATCCAAATAGCTTTCGCAGGAAGTAAACTCATAGGCCTACCTCTTATTCCCATAAGATCTATTGGGGACGGCTCATCATTCCCGCCCGACAGTTTTCTTAGTCCGGAACGTTTCTTTATTTAGTTTCAGTAATGAGAAGCTCCGTCATGCATGTAAGAGCGTTTGGGTTGGACACCGTGAAGTAGGCTAATTATTTCAATTTCATTTGAATTTGATCAAAACAAATCAAAATTCTAAAGTAGGTCAAACTTCAGTGCACGTTTTACATGGCAGTTAACAACACATATAAAAGTTGCTGTGTGCATAATGTGCAACAATCATTCATTACAAGATTTTCCATGTAATTTCTTACAGCCAAGCGAATAAAAGTAAGAAATACCTGATTTGGTAATACGGTTTCCATCCTGGTCCAGCCAGCATATCAAATTCGTAATCTCGAACTTTCGCGTCTGGTAGATTTCATTACTTTCATCTTGTCTTTCCTTTGTTATATTATTTTAAGATTTTATTATAATACAAATGATTATAAAATTGTCAATTAACTGCTTTATCTATCATTTTAGAAAATCCATGTAGAAAACATCGAAGTCTCGAAGAACGAGATTTCTGCTACCAAGTTTTTCATGTTTTGTTCGGAAAATATATATGCGAGTTTTTGGATACTACTAGACATAATTCGGCAGTCATGGAACTTCCAAAGCCTCCAGATGGTAGTGTATTTTTCATAACTAGAATCCCTCTATTGTCATATTTCTGATCGTAGGATAAATTCGTGTACACTTGTGATCAAAAGTTGCATGATTATTTTCTAAATCAAATCACAGATCAGTGAATGAGTGATTCAGGTGAACACTTAGGTCTAGCTTTCACTAGAGCAATCTACACATAGATGTTGGCCAGGGGCCGTGAATTCGTACGATCCTCAATCCAATCAGGATAAATTTTATCTTTTACAATAAATCTTGGATTACTAATCCGATAAATAGATCTATTTGGTGAATTCGTACAATCCGAGGATTGTGAGGGGGAATCCCCAAGATTTATCCATTTTACATTGGAATTCGGATAAAATTTATCTAAAAAGTAATCCACCTCAAGAGTTGGATTGAGATTTATCCTGAGATTAATCCTAGGATCGTACGAATTCACTGATTTTTTTTAATTCTTGGATTAATCCCACAATGCATCATTACCATGATGAAATTTATCCAGATCGGAGCGTACAAATTTACCGCCCCTGATCATTTTGCAGTAAGATCTAAAAGGCTCAAAGAATAATTCAGAAGACGAGACACCAAATTGGAAAATTTCAAAAAAGTGACCACCTTTCAAAACGTTCCTTATACAAAATATGCCTGCTTCCTCGTGACAAATTTTGCACTTAATTTATAGCTGAGATCTTCATCTTTCTATTTCTACTTGTTTGGTTCGATAAATAACCTATGGACGCAGTAATTTGACTTTTAATACAGCAAATATTTTTCACTTGATCCTGGCTCTTGTGTGTCCAAATTAGAGAAGGGTCAGTCACGGTTCCGTTCGATTAACCACGGTTTTTGACCTTGCCTCACGGTTCTTCTGGGACCGTCTGATCACCAAGAACTCCAGAACGGTTCCATCACTCCCGGGGAAATACTTTATTTTCGTGCAGTGTAACATGAATCCCGATTTTTTGCGCAAATAATTACAGCTCTATTTAATCTAAATAGCGAATGAAAGTACCATTTAAACGACAATTGAACAACTTCAAACGATCCATTGGGTAATAAAATCGTTTCCTTGGATATTTCATTGTGCATTATTGGTTACTATGGGAATTTCAATTTTTACGTCATTTTATTTTGCTCTGCAGCGTATCCGTGTGAATGAAATGCTCTGTCATGCATGTAGGAGGGTTTGGGTTGGACACCGTGAATGGTCATTGAAAAAAACATGATAGAATTTATCCAGGAGACATTATATTTTCAGTTTTGGCCCTTTTGCCATTTTAGTAATAGAGTAAAGGGAGGCAATATTGTCCATGTTGGTAATTGTCAGGCACTCAGTATATTTCCTCCCTGTCCTCTAAAGTAAAGTTTTCATTAATACATATGTTCTGGCATGTTTCGCCCATACATTTTATTTTTCCATATTTGGCAGCGCAGTCCATCATCATACTTTTAATATTCAACAAACAACATGACCAGTATTGATTTTAGATGCATAGATCTAAGTACAAAAGTGAATGGACTATGGTAGGTTTAAAGTAACTACCTACCCTCTGCATTTGTTCTACTTCGCTTCTTAAAAGAGAGTTTCGTCATCACTCTTTCAGTTTACAATAAATCTCTGAACTCAGAGAGCCATTCAGAGTTTGTCGTCGACAGGAGACTTTCTATATATGGTAATTTCCTCTTATGTCATCGCATAGTTAATGAGAAATGATCAGCATGGTAGGTTTAAAATGATTTATGACTTAAGTTGTCACAGGCATAGGCCGTGGGGGCGGGGCTACTAAACTGTGATATAGCTTGACTGCGAGCAGGGTAATAACTACATGTACCCTGTACCTCATGGGATCATGAATGCACATGTTAGGATGATCCAAAATTATACTAAAATAGTTTTGTTCATAGTATTAACAGTGATGATAGATGATGATAGCTTAACTATATGGAAGGATGCTTTAATCGAAAGGTATCATGGGAAACATTCATTTAGCACATGCATGAAAATGAACCGAATCAGTTACAGATCCGAACAGAATCAGTTGTAGATTGCCCTTACTCAACAATAAAGGCACCTCTTTGAAAGGCTGACTTTATCTGTTACAACAGTCTTAACACGCCCCCTATCACACGTTTCAGAGTTCAGAATAGTGAATCCTGAAAGGGAAAACTGAAATCAGCTGCTTACTTTATATCTCCAAATGTTTTCTATATCACAGTCACTGTCATCCATTTGCGAAAGTCTGTAGTTGTCTGCTGCTTCTGTGCAATCAGGACTTGTTACAACTTTTAACAAATTTTTAGCAGTTTCAGTTACTGTGGCAATGAATTCATTTTACCTCGAAAAGAGATTATTTTTTGTGACTTGAGGGTGCCCAATGTTTGGTTCTAGTATTGTTACACATTGTAACAATTTGCAATAACTAACTTGGTGGTGACAATGTGACATCATTTTGTCATGTTGATGCCTTGTTTCAACTGAAAATATCTGGGCAAAAATGCACTGAATTGATTCTTAATAACAAATTCACAATTCCATGACTATGGGAGGGAATGACTTTGACACAAGACTGTAAGTTCATTAAAACCAGTGTTTTTGTCTGATTAAATGTAGCCATGATTGAAAAATATATGATTCTAATTTTATTCTATTTTTGCTATTGCTAGATCCAGACTTGAAGAACATTATTGACAAGTTAGCTAACTTTGTTGCAAGAAATGGAGCAGAGTTTGAACAGATGACAAAATCTAAACAGAAGGATAATCCAAAGTTTTCCTTCTTGTTTGGTGGAGAGCACTACAACTACTACCAATTTAAAGTCACCACTGAACACTCAAGTAAGCACAGTAAAAGAAATCTGTGTATATTATAAGTCTTCGTATCAGCAAATTTTGTTTCGGCTGCATTTTTGTAATTGTAATTCAATTGATGGGCATGTACAGTTAATACTAACTCAACTGATACTTATTTTAATGTTTATCATGGAATCAAAGTGAGATATTCAGAGATTGAAGGTAAATTTTAGACATACATGTACTTTTCAAATATTATGAGTATTCTTTATATTTTACAGTAAATGAAATTTGTAATGATAGGCATCTGTGGCAGTTTTTGTTTGTGATAAAAAATAACGTTTTTTAAACCAAATCTATTTCAATTTATTACCCTGGTACAAATACCATTTTATTTGAGATCTTTACATTTTTATTTGTAGTTTTGAACCAGCAAAAGAAGCAAGCTGCTTCTACAGTTACCATGCCAACTACTCTGCCCATGACAACACAGACTCTCCAACAGACCAGCATTCCACCTCCTGTGTGTATAATCTCCATTGTCAACATTGCATGTAAAATCTCATCAATGAAATTTTTTTATGAAAATTTAAATGAGTAAATTCCTCAATATTTTAAAATTGTTTCTGATGGAATTCGGAATTCACTGACTAAGTTCTTAAGAAAAAAATATTGCAGCTATATGAAAAAAGTATATGTACAAAAATATAAATAATTTTTTCCTCATTTATTTTGAAACTATTTTTGTAATTATTTTCAAAATACCATTCATGACAACATACAACAGTTTAAATAGCTGCTTTAATTTTGTTCAGGGAGTTGTGTGGCCAAATCCTACAGCTGTTCCACAACCATCTCAACAAATCCAACAATTACAACAACAAATCCAGCAATTACAACAACAAATTCAACAACAGCAAGAAACTGCAGCCCAGCAAATCAAACAAAGCGAGGAAAACTTGTCTGCTCAGTACACTAGTATGATCCAACAGCAACAGGTAAAGTTAACCACTGCCACAGTGGTCTTTGTTTAGGATATAACTACATTCATAAATTAGAAATGACTTTCAATCAATATCGAAATGCATGTTTGCTTGATTTTTATAGTTCTTATAATTTAAAAGAAAAAGGAAAAAGTAATCTACATGAATGTCAAAAAATATATTAAACATGAAAATATTTGAGTCAAATGGAACTTTATATTGATCAAATTATCTATTTTATCTTTTTTCTGTGATCAAATTAAGAATTAGTCCACTAAAATATTAATCGAAATGCTGTACATATTCCAGGGCCAGATAAATGAGGCTGTTGTGAAGGCTCGTGAGGCAGAGCTACAAGCATTATGCGATAAATGTGGCACTCAAATGTCTGAACTAGATACTATGGCTCAACCCATTATTGAATCCTGTACTAAAGATGCAATTTCTGTGAGTATTAATTATGAATCATGCATATCACATCTAAATCTAAAGGATAGATTTAGATATTAGAATTATTAGAATATTCAGAATTAGGTATATTTCGAATTTGTACTTTTGAAGAATTTATATCAGCCATTCATTTAAAGAAGTTATAGCCTACTATTAGTTTATTTCATATTTTAAATTCCAGGGTGGCAAAAATTGGATATTCTCTCACAATACCTCACAAGAACATGGTGACATGATAGCACAATATATTCTAAAAAGGTGAGAAACACTAATACTTTAGTAGGAACCAAGGGTTCCCATGCACCCGAAAGATAGATATGTCTACTGAAAGAATTTTGATGTTAACATTGCCATCTACTGAGTGAACTTTTTTTTATTTATTTATTGAGGGGGCAAAATTATGAGCTGTTTTCATACAATTTTTGATATAGCTTTTTTAATAGATAACGAAAGGTGGTAACAAAATTTATGTAAGGAGCTTGTGATCCTGGAAGAATTGAAGTCTTTGCTTTACTAATGACTGAAAAAAATGATGCTTTTTTCAAAAATGGAGACACATCATTTTATATAGGAGTTTAGCGAACGCCTCTCGTTCCTATATTGCTCCTTCTATGGTGGTATCTTAGAGCTGGCATCGAATAGGATTTTAATGTCGACATGTCGGAGCTCTCGATCGACAACAATATCGACATTGTCGGGTCCAATGATATTCGAAAAATGAAAAAAAATTTGAAGAAAATCCGTCTGAATTTTAGATTTTCTAGGCTTGCAATTAGCAATACGATGCACAATAGTCATCCTCAGTTGTATGTTTTATATTTAACTTACAGGTAAACCATGTTCAAGTATCAGACTTTGACGAAAAAGCAATAAATAGACTTAAACTACGATTTCTGTTGTTATTTCCGGGCAGCCATTGAAAATAAATCTCGAGGGTAAATCTCGAGGGGCCCCGAGACCTAATTCGAGAGCAGGAAGTCGATCGAAACAAAAAAGAAAATTTGAAAATGTAGGCGGTAAAACTTCACTAAAATACACCATACAGCAGGTAGTAACAAAGATTTTAATTCATAGGGAAATAGCTTATTATGTTGTGAGTTCCGACTGTCGATCAAGAGGCGTTGTGTCGACATGGGTGTCGCAGAGAGCATTCGACTGACAATTGACCATTCCGACATTTGATGCCAGCTCTATGGTATCTTTTGATTTGTAGTGTAGAACTAAGATTAAAAACATATTTAAGCTTGGTTTTTTAAAAGATTTTGGGTTTCTAAAACATAAAAATTTGAAAAATCATGAAATACAAGGTCTCAAATGGATGAATTTGGGGTATTATTAGTTTTTTATATAGCTTTTTTAATAGATAATGAAAGGTGGTAATAAAATTTATGTAAGGAGCTTGGGAGTGGACCTATTGATCATGGAAGAATTGAAGTCTTTCATCATAAAATATCAATTATTTCAGTCACTAGTGAAGCAAAGACTTCAATTCTTCCATGATCACTAGGTCCACTCCCAAGCTCCTGACATAAATTTTATTACCACCTTTCATTGTCTATTAAAAAAAGCTATATTAAAAAATTGTTTGAAAACAGCTTAAAATTTTGCCCCCTGAGGTACCCACTTTTTGCTAATAGTCCAAGTTTCATCAGAGCTATCTGCATGAATCTTTCTTTAAATGATTAATTAATGTTATTTTCATGGTTCTCATGTACAAAAATAAAAATATCAATGATACTGAAAAAATTAAAAATATTGGCTCTATGGGAACCCTCGCTTCCTACTAAAGTAACAGTTTACTTTAATACCTTTAGTGTTTTCAATACAAATTATACCACCGTAGAATTGATATTTGAAGTTTTGTTATGTAACAGAAGTATCTGTATGTTCAGTCAATATCAGTAGCCTAATTATCAGGTGTTTATAACAATTTCAAAATGGTCATCTACAAGATTCAATCTTTTTCAGGGTGACCGACAAGACTGCTAGTTTTGACCTGAAGTTACACCTTATATATCTAATGAATGATGTTCTACATCACTGGTGAGTGCAGTTTAAAGTAGTAATAACTAATATAGCTTGGCCATTCAAAGCATGGCTCACCCAATGTCTAGATTTTTACAGCCCTCTATTTTATAGATCCGTCATATCTAAGAGTGACATCTATTTTTTTGAATCATGAAATCATTATAACAAATCTTCTAGTCTGTGTTATAAGTAGTCGGTCCGTGTGATGAGTATTTTCATGATTACTATTTCCAATATTTCTTGTTGTTTGAAGAAATGGGTAATATTTTTCCAAATTAAATGTGGATAATAGAGAGCTTTCGATAAAAGTTGTTTCGAAAACATATATGTAAACTTGTACTTAAAAGTGTCTTGTCACACTAAAATCAATTTTAACTTGATTTTCATGATGCACCGAGTTGACATAGATAGTTTCCAAATTCTAAACTGCATTCATCAATCAGTGACTGCGAATGTAATATCTGTCGCATCGTTGTTATGTAATCAACTCAATACCTAAAATCTTGTGGCATGGTGTTCTACACAAACGACCCTTTAACGTGGTTCATCACAGGGAAGGGTGAATTATTTCACAGTTCTTATAAAAGTTTAAGTTGAAATTATAATTTTAGCTTATAAAAAGGCATTTTAGATGATGATTGTAAAATTATAAATTGGATCTACACATAAACCCTAACATACTAATGTGTGTTGACCGCTGGACCATGATCCCTATTCAAAATTAATAAGCTCAATATGTAAAGTATATCCAATCAAACAATCTAATCTGTGCTAGCGATTCCTGGAGTGAGCCATTTGGTTGCATAATAAACTCTCTCACAAGTACTTGTACTGGGTGTTTCATAATGTTCTTATAATGTCTTATAATATATATCTCATATAGAAATTCCTATTTCATTTTAGACAAAGAGATCTCACACATGTGATAATAGATAGATAATGGTATGTGATAATACAGTTTAAAAGCGACAAATGGTTTTAGCTTTAGAATTGTGACTCTAAACCCCTATGAAAAAAGTTAGAACTTGTATGCCCAAATTGTCAGTATTTTTGACTTGAAACAATAAACCCTCATGTTCTTAGAATTTGAATATCTTCATTAATTATTGCTCAATACAGTTATAAGTAAGCTCAAAATACTGGGAATTTAATCACCTTTCCAATGATACCTAATACACCCTTGTATGATTGCTCATTTCCGAGATCATAGGGGGAGGGGTGGATCTCTTTTTTCCAAACGCGGCGTTTCATATTTTCCTCATTATTATTATGAAGTAATATACCATGCACGTTTATTTTAAATAATTAATTAAAATATTCATTTTCTAATTATTTAATGACTATTGTAATGCCAGTCGACGGAAATATATTGTATTGTAATTACAATTATTTATTGAAGTAATAAAACATTTTTCAACATCAATGAGGCCTGAAGTCAGTCTATCCTGAATATCTGGTTGCTATGCACATTTCTTCAAATTTCTAAAAAATAACTAGATTTAGGTCATTGATCGGCCAAAATGATGTACATTTCTAGGTCCCGGGTCATAAGAAGGCGTCGAGAACGATGCAAAATCGTCAAATTATAAAAATAGATCTATGATTTTTCATTAATTCACTTTTGTGGCCACCATTTTTTCTGATTGATCAAGTGACATAGTGACAAAGACCACTTTTCGACATGAATACATGTATTTTCTTTTTTGGTTTCAGTGTACGAAAGAATGCTGAGGGTCTGAAAGGGTCATTTGAAACAGTTGTCACGCCAGTATTCTGTTCTGCTCATGTTGGCATGGAAGAGGAAAAACAACAGAAACTTACTAAGGTACCACGGCTATACTGGGGCTCTCTATCTTTATTATTGAAATATATTTCATCTCATATGTGTAAATACAAGTCAATGCTAGAAGTGTGTTTATGAACTCTATTAGATCTTCAATTCTGTGATTTTGATTTTTATCCATATAAATAATTCTTTACTTTACAATTTGAGCAGTTTCAAAATCTTGGATTTATTTTAAATGTAGTAAATGTATATGCAATTTCTATGAAACAGCAATAGGAGTTGTAAATGGTAAAAGTATTTGTTGGAATCCTGTTTTTGTCAGTTTTGCATAATTTTTTAACAATTTGTGATGTGTCTTTGTTTATAGCTACTAGGTCTGTGGGAGAAGAACAAATACTTTTCAGAGAATACTATACAGTTGATGAAAGACCCAGTGGCAGGACTAGCTACATATCAGGTATGGAAATGCATTTTGCATGACTTCTATACTAAATACAGTGCTTTCAGTAGGTTTGTCCAAGAGTTCGTCACTGGGACGGATTGATTTTCAAAATGTGAGTCCCCCCTCAAAAAAGTGCGTACCGTGAAAAAAGGTTCCCAGGAATTCAAAGTCTCATTTTTACACTAAACGAAAAAATTGATGAAAAGTTTCAAACCAGTTTTGTTGTTTAACGGCAACAAACGTCTAGAATGTCACTAAATATGTACCTTCACTTGAAAGCGATAACTAATGTTCAACCATTAAATACGTATTTTCTTTTCGTATTTCGAAGCAATTGTTCTTATGACAAGCCCAAAGTACGAACAAATTATGGTAGAGCTATGGTGTCTTTCACTGCACCGATAATTTGGAATGAATTAACTGATGAAATGAAATCATCTGACAGCATCTTAATTATGAAAAAAGAACTCAAAAAGTACCTTCTTAAAGGTGCTACAAATAGTGCAGGGGGGCCATTCAACGATCATCGACAAGTGTCAAAATATATTTAGGTTTGGATATTTCATCAAGACTAACATATATTTTCATTATCTACAAAGAAACCCTCTGGATGAACATTATTTCAGCTGATATTCCTCTTGAAACATGGTGGATCTTAAAAAATCTATAAGCGGGACTCCCTTTATAGAATTGAATTTACACTTCTTAATGCTGACATTGATAGTTTATACATACATTTTATGAAAATAGGTATGTCAAAGAAGGTATTAAGCCAAATATTGACCTGATAGCTCAGAAAAAATAAAAATTTTCGAATTTTCTTTCTACAGTCCTTATTGCCCCTTTAATCAATAGTATCATTCATAGTCTATGTTAGTTTTATAATGATTTGCGGGCCTAATATGGCACACTATTAAGCAGAAACAAATAGTATGCATTATTGCACAAGCAGATCCCCCATATGTATTATTATAAAACACGGGAATATACACATTATGTGTCACCCGTTTATTGTAACCTGTTGTAAAGATATGATTAAATAAGAATAAATAAATAAATAAAAAAATAAAAAAATAAAAAATTGGCACTAGGGGCAATCTCCGCAAGGTTTCATTTATTAGTTCCATTTTATGCGCATGCGCAACAAATCCAGTAATTTGGTTAGTTAAAATTATTAAGACGCATGCGCGATTGATAATCATGGCCAATCATAGGACTCGTACCGATTACCGCTCAGTACTGTAGCAACTACTTAGTGATTGTCCTATCACAGGCCTCGTACTATTTCGATCGGAAATCAACTTCCGGAAAAGAAACTTCGAAAGAAAATATTGTATTTCTTTTAAAAATAGAATATCCTTTGTTTATTTAGCGGATTTTGACCAAATGAAAGACTGAAGGTAAGATCTTTTTGCGAATCTATCAATTTTGTTTATGAAAACACGGGACTTTGCGTCCAAAGGACGGATCTTTAAATTTTTTTGGAGTCCCTTCATCAAAATCTGGGTCCTCCTTAATGTTGAGGACGCATTACTGAAAGCCCTGTAAATACATATTCATGATATAGAATTACAAGAACATTATATACAGTTAAACACCTGGCACAGCTTTGGTAGCCTAAATACACTGTTGCTCTTATACATGGAACATTTACCAATTTACCATTGAAATGCCAATATTCCATATATTTGACCAACAATGGAATGTAATCTTGGACTTTACAGGTTTTATTGATATTTTATTGATATTTTTTATTTTGAATCTAGTTGGAGGGAGAGAAATGTATTTCAAAATGATGTAGTTTTGTCCTAACCAAAATTTAAGAAAATGGAGAAATTAGATCCCCTGGACCAGATATATTCAAATGTGTTCTGAGGTTGAAGGTTGATATTTCAGGCAAACAGTATCACAAAATATGGCAGTGTTGTAAGTCAGATCACACAGGCAGTGAACATTCAGTATAGTAATCTACAGAAACAGCACCAGGAGTTTGTGAATCACCTGAACAACCAGGTCTCTGCACTTCAGACACATCTCACACAACAACAGGCTGTCTTACAGCAACAGCAACAAGGTAACTATATACAAACTTGCAATATATTGTGATGCTTTATTACAGGTGACAATGTAACTCCCCACTCACTAAGTCTTTAATTCATGAGTCGCAAGGGAGAGAAATGATCTAAATTATATAATCTAGTTTGAAGCCCTTCTGATTATCAAAAATGATAAAATATTGTATCGATCTTTTTTAATGTTGAATACTGCATCTACACAATCACTCAAACAACCGCATAGTCCAGCTCATAGATTGTCTCGAAAAAAACATATCTTAGAGATTATTTATAATTAATAATTTAGTTAGCTAATTAAATACAGTGTGCCTCAATATATCTTTCAAAAATATTACTTCAATGAAGGAAAAAAGAGTAAGTACCATTTACTTTTTGGGACACTCAGTATATGTATATACATTTCAAGCAAGTTTATTATTCAATAGAAGTAATATGTATAATTCAGTCCATCAGTTCATGTTATGACCCAAAGTAGGTTATTTATTTCATAAACATTGTTTACATTTTGGTATAGTCTATGTACATGTATGTTGAAAAGTAATAGAGCAATTTTATATGTACAAGCATGACACATTATCTTCCGGTGATTCATCTAGTATGATGGCCATTTTGGAAATTGATGGATAGTCTCCCTCGATGTTTTGCCATGTCTTTGCCACATAGAGATATATACTATATAGTCAAAATTTCAATCTGTCTGTCAAGTGTTTGCCCAACGTCATCACCTGTTAAAAATAGAATAAGAAGTACCAATTTAAAACAAACTTGAAAATGATTCATGTTGGATTAACACAGAACTCCTTGTTACTTGTAAGAATTTCAGTTCAATCATTAAACAAACTTGTCATATTTACCAGTGTTCAAAATGAATTACGATCATTAGACTACATGTTACCTACTAAGAATTTCAAACATCTAACCAAATAAGGAATTTGATTGGGAAGGAAGTGGTTTTGAGTATAACTTTTTAGAATTTGAACTCATTTACAATATGCTGCATTCGTACTTGCCATATTTGGCATTGCTTTGTGTGTAATTCTGATTACTTCTAAAAATTTCATATACCCAACTAAATTAGGTAGGTTAGTGGGATGGTGTTTAAGTATCACTATTGAATGTAGGTGCATTTAGTATTTCTATTATTACCTAAATATACCTATATACAGGATGGGCCAAAAAATGCCACTTTTTTTCAAAGTGCTATAACTTTTTAAATTTTTGAAGATGCAATCTAGCCATGGATTATGAATTGTCAATTTTACTTGAATAAAGTATGCCACCAGCATCTCACTTAAAGATGTGGTGTACCATGAGTAATGAACAGAATTTGCATAATGTACCTGAACTGACACGGCCTGATGACCACCACGCTAGTAGTCCTGATGTAAACCCCAGTGAGTATAGGGTATGGAACAGTCTCCAGGAGATAGTATAAAGGCACCCAACCTCAAAAATTACTCAACTAAAGCTGGCAATTAAGACAGGTTGAAAGAAACTTAGTCAACATTTCATTGATACTGCTATATCAGCATGGTGACTAAGACTTAAGGCTATCATCAGAGAGGGTCAAATACAATCCAAGTTGAAGGACTTATTACATTATTTTATTACTTAGGACCCCTTTTTGGCCCACCCTGTATAGTAGACAGTATAGTAGAGTAGATAGAGAATTTATATCACTCTAATTATTATTTAATAAAAACAGAAAATGTACCTGCTAAATAGTCTTTGTAATGTTCTCTATCACCAAGATTCATAGACCCTTGTCTTTTGTGTCTGATTCTCTTGACTGTATTGGTTCAAAATCACTAGAAGAGTATATATCTGGTTCAGTTGGCTCCTGGTTTGCAAGGTGTATATCTAATTCAGTTCGATGTGATTTTGCTGCTTTCTTCATTGCAGTAATATATGTATCAGGTTCAGTCGACTCCATTGGTGCATTGTTGCTTGGAGAATCTCCATATGTAGTAGTTTGCTTGGATAGCACCTTACTGTGTACAGCTTCAGCTGCTAGGAATATAAGATAATATGATATTATATAATATAATATACATACAAATACATGCATAGATAATTCACCTAACAACTGCTTCAATCTCATGTGCAAATTAAGAAACCTATATAATACAGTAGAGCTTAACCTTACCTTAAATCATAACTTACCAACAGTCTGAGGTCTTGAACTATTGGCCTTATTGGCTTGATTTTCATTGAGAGCTTTTTCAAAAGGTAAGAGTCTCTCTTTGGATAGTTTTCCATATATTGCTGTTGTTGGAGCCATTTCAATTTGATTTGTTACTCTTGCCACACACTCATTATTATCAGAATATTTTCTAGGGTGTTCAGTAGGACATTGTTCTGGAGCACGTTGTCTTGAAGGTGGTTGTCGAGGAGCAGGGATTCTTAATTGTACTGGAAAGTTGTCTTTATGAACATTGTCTGAGGATAGGTTGTGCAGGACCAAGCTTTCCAAGTCATCTTTGAACATTGTTCTAACTTGTCCAGCAGCAATTTGTCCAAGGGAAATATCTTCAAGGGATTGAAGCGAAGAGAGTTGTTTTGGAGGTTTCCCAGAATCAGTGTCCTCACATTTTTTGAATTGTCTTGGACCACTGAGATCAAAAGGATCAAGTTTAGGGGTGATTTGTTCAGGATCGAGGTGTCCAGAAATAAGTTGTCCGCGACCAATCTGATCAGGAGCATGTTCACTGAGTGGAGAAATCTCTTCAGGAGAGGAAAGTGTTCTTGGAGGAAGTTGTCCAGGACCAATTAGTTCAATGGCAGGTTCTACAAGAGTTGTAAGCTCTCCAAGAAGGTCAGATTGTTCGGGAGCAATCCTTACATGAGGAAGTTCTCCAGGAGGATCAAGTTGTCTTTGAGAATGTTCTCCAGGAGCAAGTTTTCCAGATGGAAGTTCTCTATAGGGATCAGTTTGTCCAATAACAAGTTCTTCGGGAGAAAGCTGTCTTGGATAAAGTTCTTCAAGTTGTCTTGTAGCCTGTCTGGAAGGCTTTCTTGGGACCAATTTTCCAAATTCCACATGACTTTTTGATATGTCGGATGGTTTATACTGTAGGGAGATAATTTCAGTAAACTGGATATAATGGGATTTTGGAAGTCCTTCACGTTTCAGAGTTTCACACATTCTTATCATTTCAGCATGTCCACTTGCTCCTTTTATTGTATCAAGCCTGCTCAACTTGCTCTCCTCAGTAGCAATTGAAAGGCGGAGACCTTCTTCATCTTCTTCTGTGAAAGAATAGTTCTTTTGATGCTTAGCAATACATTCAATTATTGAATTGAATGCTTTTTCGATTGCTTTTTCCACTTTGAGCCTGTCTGCAAGTACATTTTTAAATAAATCTTTTTCCTCTCTCAAGTTATCAGCCTTTTTTCTAAGCATCTTAACACATGCTTCAGTTTCATTCCTTAGTTCTTTTTCATGCAGTTCAGCAGCTTTTGCAATATCTATGAAAGTATGTCCAGGGTGATCTTTGGCTAAGCATTCGTAACACAAAATGCTATTGTCTGTTTTACAAAACACTTTCAATTGCCCATCAGGGTGTTTCTCACACATGTCTGACTTGGGTTTAGAGCCTTCATTGCGTTTCTTTTTGATACTCAGTATTCTTTTCATAAGTAAGTTTGTTTTGAGTCCATCTGGCCCCTCGATTGGTACTTCCCATTTTTCACGACACAATGGACATGGAATGTGTCTACTCTCTGTATTACATTCCACTAAGCCCTTTATGCACTTAAAGCAGAAAGTGTGTTGGCATGGTAATACCTTAGGATTGGTAATGTCATCCAAACAAAGTTCGCACACAAGGCACTTATTAATTTCTGCAGTCATGGATGGAAATGCCTGTTCCATTGCCTCTTAATTCTGAATTCTAATCCTTGATACTGTTAATTTGCTACTCTCTGTTAAAGTGTTTAAATTGCTTGCTATTTTGTAATTTTGATTCGTTAAAATACCAACTAGTAATCACTTGTACTACTTAAAAGTTAAAAAGTCTTAAGCAAGAAAGAGCCATAAAGTATAACCTGAGTGAGGTTAAATATCACTTGCTACCTAGTTTCACTGACTTGTTATATATGTCCTTGAGCCTTGAAATCTTGAAATTAACCCTCATAAATTTTACTGACATTGATTTCTATGGATTATTTACATTACTTTGAATTATTTCTAGTTAAGCACCTGACACGCCAATCATATATTTTAGTTTATTGGTACAGTTCATTATTGAGTGGATTGTGTTATGTCAAGTCTTATTCAAGTAACCTAAAATTAAAAGGACACTAGGTATAAAATATATGTATACTTTATATAATGTTTAATATGATGTTTCAGCTGCAGCAGTTGTGCCCCCTCCTACAGCAGCCCCCTTAGACCCAGCACAGGTACTAATTTCAATATTTCCTGCACTACTGAATGAATAAATAACTCAAAAATTGTTTTGTTCAAAGAAAATGTACAGTTGCAGATGCATTGGGATTACACAGGTTGTGCTGTCATGTATGAGCAATGCAGACATTGCTTTCTGTGTGTCATAACTACAATATAGTAGCCGAGACAACACAAGTCCCAAGTCTGTATATTTACTCCCATTTCTTCACTTTTAAGAGTTAAGTCACCATATTTTGCATGCACATTCCTTGGAGAAATCCTAACATAGAATTTCATTGGTTTTGATTATAATTTATTTGTCAAAAATAGGGAAACATTTAATTTTGATTGGTCTATAACCAAAATTTGCCATTTTGTAACAAATGCAACATTTTGACGAAATGAATAAAAGTCTCTACTTTTGGTGTAATAACTCCAAAATGACCAAATGTTTTCTTATTCAGCACAAATGTATCTGTTTTGGGTAGTTGAGACATTTTCGAGAAAAATGGTATGCAGAAACATGATATTTTCAATAAAACGGGGTCAAAAACGGCCCATGAAGATGCCTGCATTATTTTAGATTTTGACATGTTTCAATGGCCTGAAAATGGATGGGGTAGGGAGTGGCATACCTTTTGAGCTTATTCCAGTTACCATTTTAATCAAATGAATGATGACATATTTGGTATCATCTTAAGGCTTGTAATGTGTTCTTCAATTTGGTACAAATATTATGACATCAAATTTTATATTATGACATCACCGTGGTACTAAAACGACCTTAAATGAAAAAAAAGCACCAAAATGCAGCAAAATAATGGTGCAACTCCAAAAGTCTTTTGACAATTCACTACTTGCCACAATCACTGAATGCATTTCTCATTGAGGTACACTTCCAATGCACGATCTGATGACTGGTAAAAATAACAAGTGATATTTATTGTCAATAAGATTGGAGACACCATATTGTATCTGTCATTTATAATACTTGGAGTTTTTTTAATAACGTCAAAATGTTGCATTTGTTGCACAAAATGGAAAATTAGGATTATAGACCAATAAAAATCAAATGTTTCCCTATATTTAACAAATCAATTATAATCAAAGCCAATGAAATACTATGTTAGGATTTCTCCAAGAAATGTGCATGCAAAATGTGGTGACTTAACTCTGAAAAGTGAAGAAATCAGAGTAAATATACAGACTTGGGACTTGTGTTGTCTCGGCTACTATATTTGAAAGACCATCAATGTCTTTGTGATAACGCCCTATGAGAATATTAATGTCCTAACTCACATTTCTGTTAAACTGAGAAATCAATTTTTGAATGTTTAGGCATCTGTAACTTCAGTACTATCTATCTATCATTTTTGAAATTTTTACATTAAAACTAAAAATTCATGAATTTTAAGATTTTCAAAGCCAATTTATTGAAAATGGAGATAGGACAATTCAATTCTGAGTTCTCGTAACATCGAACGATTAAAGCTATGGCCATTTTACTATGTTTTTTCTATTCGTTTTTTTTTTAAATAAATTCAAATCTCAGTTTAAAATTGTAATATAATAATTCTTAGTCACATGGTGTAATTCAAACAATTTGATTGGTTAAACCGATAGAACATAGCATAGAACAAAGTATGGAGAATTTGACACTGAAAGCAGGCTATTGAGAGGAGATAATTGAGAGGTAAGGGAATATCACAGTTAGAAAGAGGATGATTTAAATAGTGGAAATCTGTGAAAATCTCAATTTTTTCAAAAATGGCACTAGGGACATTATAATTCTCATATGACGATAAGTAAAATTAAGATGTGATATTTTGTTTATAGATCAACTTAAACCAACCTCCCCCTGGCTTTCCACCTGGATTCACCTCTCAGCCACCCCCAGACTTCAGTCAGCCCCCACCAGGGTTTCCCCCAGGAGGCTTTGCTGCAGGTAGTGTAATAGATTTACAAGCATTTAACATGTTAATCACTGTATCAAATATTAATGATTTTGAAGTGTTGGTTTTTGTATATTTGTAAGTGAAGTAAATGTTGTGTTTAAATATTACAGAAATATATATTTCAAATTACAATAATCACCCTTCAAAGATTTGTATTCAATACAACAGTATATGGAAGTATTCTCATTGACACATTATTTACAGTCACACTATCAGTTTTTAAAATCCTGAAACAATGTTAGCAATAAATCTGCATTGCAATAGTATGTCGTCATTACTCTGCTATTTAGCATTCTTCTTTTTATTTTTTGATTTTTTATCTCACCATCGGTGGGATATAGTGATATATTGTGACCGTCCCGCTTTTTGTCATAGCGATTATGACTTATTTTAAAGCTACTAAATGTGCATTTAATGTATATTTCTATTGCAGGTGGGGCAACTATAGACTATAACCATGGTCAAGGTGGGCCTCCCATGGGGCTACCAGATCTCAGTAAACCTCCCCCTGGCTTCAATCCCTCTCTTCCCCCACCCAGTTTCCCCCTGGTGGATACTGAGGCTGATCTCATGCCAACTGCACCCTACTTTGACCTCCCTGCTGGCCTCATGGCTCCACTTGTCAAAGTAAGTGCATTTCCACAGGGACACTCCGTCACACTGAATGTCTAGCAATTGTATAACATTTACACACACTTATAATTGTATATTTTCTAGGAACATATGAATCAAAATTGGTATAAGTTTTTATCTAAGCTACTGCTGGCTGCAGTTGAAATGTATTAATTTTAAGTATCTCTGAGTTTGGATTATATTATCAATAATTTGGTAACAGCTCCCCCCAACTTGTCTGATTCAACCTTAGATTTAAATCTGTAGCATAAATTCATAGTTTAGTTTATTTATGACTAAGTTATGAATTCATGAGTGATTATCCCATCGAACGAAGTTTGGAGGGATATAGGGAACGCCTCCGTCCGTCCGTCTGGGCAATAACTCAAATACCGTTGGCCCGATTTTGTTCATATTTTGTACACATGGGGGTAGAAGTTCTGCTCAAAAGCAGATTTTCAAAATGGCCGTTTATTAAAAAATGGCGGCCATTTTAGTGCCGATTTTACAGTATTCAGGTGCAATATGTAAAACTGTAATAGCAATATGTTTTAAATGTAAAAAAATTATATAGGTCATTAATAAAGCTAGAAATGTAGATATTAAAGAAGCACATGACACAGAAGCACAGGTGAAAAATGGTGGCCTTTACTTGTTATTTTATGATTTTTGCTGTAACTTGAAAAGTAGTGGAGCAATTTTGTTCATATTTGATATGTGAATACTATAAGCATGGCACACTGTCTAATGACACTTTTGGTAGAAGGCGGCCATTTTGAAAAATGGCCACCATTTTAACGTATTTTACTGTAACTCGAAAAGTAGTGGTGCGATTTTGTTCATATTTGGTATGTGAATACTATAAGCATGGCACACTGTCTAATGACACTTTTGGTAGAAGGTGGCCATTTTGAGAAATGGCCGCCATTTTTGCTATATACTTTGTTTGTAAAAATGCCAGCCATGGCGGTTCGATGGGATTTGCTACTCTTTGGCGTTGCTGTTGTCTATTTTAATGATGAAACAATACGTTTATAGCTTGAAGATTGTGATTACAAACCCCTAGATCCTAAAGACATCAGGTTACCTCCCCCTATGCCCCCTAGTGAGCGACTCCTGGCTGCAGTGGAGGCCTTCTACAGTGCACCAGACCATGATAACCCTAGAGATGGGTATGTACATGAGATTAAGCTCCAATGAATTTATAAAAGTTAAACTATATACCCCCTAAGACATGTCCCCATCTCTCAAAAAATACTTAAAATGAGGTTCATGCAACCTGGAAACATTCTAGAATTTGTGATTTAATTTTACCACACTTTTAACACTTCTATACAATCTTTCAATGGTCACTATGAATTCCATGAGAAACACTTCCACTTCCCTTCTTAATAAAAAATGAGCATTTTCACCATTTTTCCACACTAAAAGTTTACTTTCGGTTTATTATGTCAGCACCACAAGTGATGACAAATAATGTTATAATCTCCAAGTTTTTGTGGACAGTGTTCGGCATTTGGCATTCGCCAGACAGCATCTGTAACAAATGGCAGGCGGCTACATTTGGCATGTTAATGCCTTATTGTAATTTTGATGAGAATGTGCATCTTAGTAAGGCTTTTACACTTTTGAGCCTCAGTCTACATGCATATAGGTTGTGAAGGTTTAACAGCCATCTTTGAATACACTTTCGTGCTTATTTGAAAAAGATCATAGAGAAGGTCTTAAAGAGACTCGATAAAATTAGATTAAAATAAAATTAAAATCGCAGATGAAGAAACATTATCAAAGCACAGTTACTCATATAAGAACCTCTATTTAGCATGTGTTTCGACCGTCCTCTCACACCTATCCGAGTCAAACTTTGGTTGAACCTATTTATAGCCCCCGAGTACGGACACCTGCGCACTCTATATAAATTCGCACACACATTAAAGCCAGAAATGTATTTTGCAATCATTCTGTATCGATCTGTGTTCCTCAAGTGTTTAAAGGAACCTTGTGTGTCTAGACATTTTGTTCAAAAGTGTACATGACTGTATACAGACATTGTACTTGGTAATTGTAAAATCTGATTAGAATTGAATCATGAATTTGGAATTTTTATGTTTGTTACTCTAGGGAAGGATGGGAGAAATTAGGTCTCTATGAATTCTTTAAAGCAAAAAAGAGATCAAAAGAATTGAAAGAGAAAGAAAGACAGAATGACAAAGTCAAATCTTCAACAAGAAGGTCTAGGTCAAGGTCTAGGTCAGATTCTCGGTCAACCTCAAGGTCATCTTCAAGGTCACCTCCACCTCAAAGGAGACGTTATGGAAGTGATAAAAGGTATATTGATATTTTTCTTTTACATGTATTTGTAATATATATTGATTATTTAATGTTAATTGAACGTACATGTGCGCATAAAACATTTCAGAGAATTCTATATAATTATTTGAATGTATGTAGAAAGGTAGTTGGTGCTAATGGTACATTACTTTTTGTGAAGGTTTTAGCATCCATTCAACTGATATTGTAATCTGAAAACTGTTGAATCAATATTACATATCATGTGGTGTTTTCAGGTCAAGATCACCCAGTCCACCTTCTTTTGGTAAAAGTCAAAGGTCACCATCACCTAGGAGAGGAAGATCGATGTCACCATCACCTAGGAGAGGAAGGTCAAGGTCACTGTCACCTAGAAGGAGAAGGTCAAGGTCACCTCCATCTAGAAGAGGGAGGTCTCGCACTAGGTCAAGAACAAGGAGCCCAACTCCTCCACAGTTCTTGTAAGTTCAAATACATTCAATGCTGGCAATTACTGGCTCTTATACACTGTTGCAATATATTTGAAAATATAGCAACTAAACATTGATGAATAACCAAATATTAAGCTTCAATATAATGGTGCCATTAAGAAGTCTAAAAAATTTACACATCATCAATTTAATGGTCATCTTTTGACTTTTGAATGAAAACAATATACATGTAATTTGAAAAAAAATATAAACTTTTCCCTATATTGTTTTAGAAAACACATCAGACACTTCTTTTGTTCTTGGTATCATATGTTCGGAATGAAATGAAACATCTTTCCAAATCCATTGGAGCAAAACTACATAAACACAACATATTTAGGTCTCTCAATATTGTAATTGTACAAAGGAAATTTTGGTTGATTTCAAAAGATTCAAAAGAGTATCTTGTTAATGAAATGAAAGGTTTATCTGAATTTTTCTCTATTTTGGCGGGTTTTGTTTTAATTTTTTAATACTTTTTCTCATATCAACCAAAATTTCCTTTGTATAGCTATAATATTGAGAGGTCTAAGAAAATGTTGTATAATTATGCTATTTTGTTCCAACAAGGTTCGAAAAGACATTTTATTTCATTCTCAAGAATTGGTAGAAAGGAACAAAAACAATTGCACTAAAAACAAAATATGTTAACAAAAACAGTTATATATAATATATATAAATAATTTTCGCGTTAAATTGTTGTCAATCAGTCAACATTACATATAGGACCGTGTTTTTTTACAGAATGTTTTCAATAATTAAAGAGATAAACATTGTTGAATTCAGTTCACCATATCAATACCTATCCTTTATTTTATTTGAGTCATACTGAAATGTATATGAGTAGAAATTAATTTGTAAGCACTAAATTGTAAAAGTATACATAAACACAATGAACTTTAATTCCATAAATTAATGATTACATGTTAATGTGTAATGTGTAATATGTATTTACTGCATTGTAGCAATGAGCCATTCTATGCGCACAGTTCTGACTCTAGACTGGGACAGGAAAATAAGGGACATATGTTGCTCAAGAAAATGGGTATGTGTTGGTTTAGCAGAAAACATGCTATCTGAAAATATTGAATAATATCGAACATTTGTTTTGGGTCTCAATACATACATGTATAAGGACCAATAATGCTTATTTAATGTCAGTCTAAGAAGTCTCATTATTGTATTAATCTTATGACAGGAATGCTCAATTCATCTTCATAACTTAAGCTTTCATCAAAATGTCACAAACTCATTTGGACAATTTTCAATAATTTTCCTCTGTTCACATGTCAAAAAGTAATGCTTCGAAAAGAAAATATATGACAATAATAAAATTCTTTGTCTGATTATAGGTTGGGGAGGAGCAGGTCTTGGGAAAGCAGAGCAGGGCATAGTTGACCCAATTAAAGAGGCAGAGGTTAGACAGAACATGGATAAATTTAAGGGAGTTGGCATGAACATGACAGACCCCTTTGAACAGTTTAGGAAAAATAAAAGTGCTGGATTTATACAGAGAATGAAAGCAAGAGCAGGACCAGGTAGGAACTAAGCCAAGGGGGGACATGTCTAGGGTATCTCTATTAAGCATACACAAGCGGTATGTGTTCTTAAAAGAACATGGAGTTAGAGTATTATATCTACATGCAGTTTGCTTGCTCGGATCATAGTGTAAATTGACAGGATTTATAGAGGCTCTTGCGAATTATAGTGTAAATTGACAGGATTTCAGAGGCTTTTGCAGATTATAGTGTAAATTGACAAGATTTTTAGAAGGATTATAGTGTAAATTGACAGGATTTGATTTTTATAGGCTCTTGTCTCATTTTGCTGGAAAATCTCTCTCTAACACTATACTTTGCATTATTTGATTAGAATAACTTAAGAATTTGATTGTAATCATTCACATATTGTATTTTCTTCCTATAAATTACATGTCAGTGATACTATTACATATGCAAGTAATATTCATCTTCAGTTAAGAAAATAAATCAATATAAAATATGTTTTGCAGATGACAAGAAAAAGAAGAGGGCAGAAAAAGATGACTAGCACAACATACAAATACCCGGTCATGATTGTATATGGACTTTGAATTCAGGCTATAATCATGTCGAGATTGTACACAAATCCACAAAATCGAATGCCATCTTAGATCTACATACTGGAAAAGCATGTATTTTTGTATACAGTCAACAAAACAAAGAAATACAATTCAGTAATACAATAAATATATTCAGTATCTGTTTAATATATAAATGTAAATATTTCTGGTTGGTAGAAACCATTGGTTGGTAACACAATTAAAACATAATAAAAAACAGAAACTTAAGTAGTAAATTATATAATGGCAGATACAGCTGAGTTACAACTTTCTGTTCTGCTGGATAACATGTTGCTTCACTAAAACTCCCAAACACATTGTGATGATGAACCTGGCTTTTAGAATATATTTGAGTTTCTACAAAAAGATTCAATATCAATTTGACTATTATTGGTAATATTAATGCAATGTAGAAAGATTTCGAAATGTTACCAAATATAACCAACCCAATACAAGATTTCTTTTTTAAAAAGAGTTAGTAAGATTTTAGAATTTGAATTTTTCACTATCCATTGTAAAATACATTATTTTCTCAATCCCATCAGATAGATTGAGTAAGAATAGCACATTTCAACCATTTCATTTTATTCAATAAATTAGCAATATATTCAAATCAATTGTCTCAAATCAAATCAAGTTTTCTTCACAATCCATAATATCATTTTCTGACACAAGAAATCAAAATATAATATCTATTACAAATATAAAAGTTATTAAAGATTTATGATGCAGAAATGCCCAAAATTGATTAGGATTTTAAAAATAGGACATCTAATTTGATCTGGAATTTTAGCCACACTCACTTATATAAATGTGTGCAGTCCGTGCATTGTGCTGCAAATGTGACTAAAAAGATACAACTGAGTCAACATTTACGACATAGTACATACATATCTTGCCCTTGAAAATAACATGTATAATCACTGCTTTGGTTGGAGTTTTTAAATATTTATATTCAAATGATTATCTAATTATATAATCATCAATCAATATCTTGTGTAAATAATCAAAATTAATGCATTAAACTTTTCTTGAGACCATATTCAACATACAAGTTGCACAAGCTCTCGTGGGAACTGTGCCCTCATAAGAGAGAATGCAGTACTCAGATATTGTGATATTATACACAGTAAAACAGCACTATACTGTAATCTTCTGATTTGTATACATTGGCAATAAATAGTTTATAATAATATATAAATAATGCCAAAAAATGGGACAGAACAACTGTAAGATCAAAGGCTTTTTATACTACTATAATCCAGTAGATCATGTATAACTCAGAGGAAATATAAAATCAAACAACTGCCACATTTACCTGGCATACACATTGTATATACAGCTATAAAGCATTTGTAAATTCAGTCACATACCAAAGAGAGCTACAATATTCACATACTGTAATAAATATAACATGTATAATATATATTATATATTCTCAATTCCTATTTAAAGCTCCTTGTTGCATTCTGAGAATCATTATTGGGCAATAGATTTTTTCAGAAACTCATTTCCTCATATTGTTGACAACAGGCCTAGGCCTTAATAGACAGTGTTTCTTAAACTACAATAAAACTTTTCTTCATGAACAGCTCTTTCTCTTCTGTATAAATTACCCTCTGAAGTGAAAACCTATAAACACATATTGAACATTTTTTCTCAGCAAGGTTTTACTACACTGATGTATATTTTACATATCATTTTTTAATAATGCAGTCGGATTTCAATTTCAATTAAACCCTTAAGAAATGAATGTGAATACAACAGAATTAAAGTCCGTGTCGTTTGTGCGATTATAATGGCAAAATGCATTTCAAACATATTCATTGTGTAAAACACAACATAAGTTATCTACACTTAGACTAGGATTTCAAACATATGCAGGAGAATTGTTTAATAGAAATATGAAATTGGTACACAATTGTGCTACAAAAATGTCATTAATTTAGTGATACACATTGTCCCCTGCTTGAATGGAATATCAATCTTCAAGAAGGTTCACAATCTACACTGAAAACACAAGCTTCTTGATTGTAAGATTTCAGGAAAAGTATAATTTGTACATATAATATTAATAATTTTATATTGCTAATTACAATATGTCAAATATAATTTTTAAAGCCACAAAAGTGGTTGGTAGGACCTATTCAGCCTTATTCTACACCTTATCAGATGATTTCTGGCATTTCTGGGCAGTAAGTCAGATAATCCTGTTGAATAACAAGTTCAATTTCATCCATCTAACCAATAAGTTTATAACATGCATAATATTCTGGTTGTGTGTGAAGCTTAATTATATTGCTTGTAAACTATAATTCATTCATGGGATAAATACCAGAATATCAGATCAGTATGATGTTTATCCACTTGTAATACAACACTCATTGTTGATCAAAATGATATCACTCAAATGATTTGATATTCTTTCATGTTGTGTCTTTCTCAGGGATTGTCAGCTTAGGGAAATTGAAACCACTTGCATACGTAACTGTTAAAACAATCTTCAACTAAAATGTGATGGAAGCAAAACTTAACAGCTCAAAATTCTTAAACTGGAATTCCAAAACTGTTAAAACGTCTTGTTAAACAATATTTCATTCATTCAATAAAATCATACCTGTCAAGATGGAACCAGTGAAATATACCAAGAGAATAATGAAATGCGGAAATGTCTCATATTATTCCATTGGGCTCCTGTATATCTGCCCTCAGCATTTGTAACTGAGGTAGGAGATTATTGGATGACTCTTCATCCACTGGCATGTCTAGATCAAGCTCTTCATTGGTTGTTGTGAGTGATGTGAATCGTATAGATTGCGTCTTAATTCGTGATCTGCTTGGTAAAAGGAACACCACAGATAGCGCCATACAAGCATGCCATACACTGTGGATGTAGGAGTAGTTGCTCTCATTCTCAAACAGTGAATAAAGTAGCAGTCCCACACCTGCAAGCACTATACCTGGGATGATAAAGAAAGCCCAGCGCTTTTTTGTGGGATACAGGCTCTTTCTCCTGTAGCACTGGCGGATCTGGAATGAATTTCAATAATTTTAGAGCAATGTACATGATAGTAGTGTTGTCGCGATTAATCGATACATCGCGATATACATCGCCAAAGCTGGTTCTGGCGATGCATCGATGTCTGAAACAAAACATCGATGTTTTTAAAAAATTTTAATTTGCTAAAAATCGCCCTTTCTTATCTTATTTTGATGCAAATTGCTTACCTTTATTCATGTATTATTTCATTTTCAAATGTTTTCTGATATTCTTTCGCTTTAAAACTGTTTTAGCTAGTCGAAATGAACCATAAATCTAAAAAAATTACTTTACTTTCATTTCACCGTTACTATGTTCCCGGATGTACCAGCGTACTCTTATTAATTTGTTCTGTTCGATATTTTAGTGCATTAATGTTCGGTATTTCAGTGCACTTTTCTCGAACTTTTTCTCGATGTACATCGCGATGTGCATCGATGTTTACTACTGAAAATTGCCGATGCATCGATGTACGATTATGGCACATCGCGACAACACTACATGATAGTAATATCCTCATGTTCTATTTTAAATTAAATAAAAGACATGGCAGATTTTATGCTGGAATATTTTTCCAATTTGAAATAAGGAATATTGATGAATATGTGATTTATATTCCCGAAAGAGCCCTCAACAACTACAGATATACTATAACAATAAAGGACCCATAGCCCTGTGCTCACACAGTGAATTGTGCCACATTATATTTGGAAATGATTAACTTAGTACAGAAAATGCCATTGATATTAAACATGAGAAAGTTCCCTGAAAATGACGTACTACTGTACTTTTTGTCAAATTTAAGAGTAAATACTGAAAACTGTAATTCTAAGAGCTTTGAGAGAGGACATATGTTGCACATACAGAAACTACTAACATTCATTTTAAAGTTCTTCTTTAACTGTCACTCTGATATATTTAAAGAAAATCTTCTCAGAAACCTGACGAATTTGGGAAATTGTGATGACATGTCAAATGGGCACTATGGATAAACTGCATGAATAAATGAATATGGATATGACTTACTGTTTTACCTGTTTTAATTTGTGTGGCCAATGTTCACGGATGGATGGACGGATGGATGCCTAGTCGATCAAAAGTTCACTGTGTGAGCCAAAAACATGTTTTAATAGGAATTAAAAAAGTGATCTCCTTGGTCCTTACCCATGATGCCAGCATTATGCTTATTCCAATGACAACTGGTGCTACAAACACCCAGAGACCATGTCGGTCATACTCCACCCCCAGGGCAAGGCAGAGGGCAGCTAACATATGCATGATACCCCTCAGAGGCTCCCCCAGCTTTGCCATGGCTATCAATGTGATCCAGAAGGACATGATTGAGCCATAAAAGTCACAGAAACTCAGCACATTGTAGTCCATCATGCAATAGTGATATTCACTTTCAGCACGGTCACAGGCATGGTAGAACTGAAACACATAGACAAGATTGTACATGTACATAGACTGCAGGTAATGGGCAAAACATGTACATTTAGTTAGAACATGCATAATCTTGATTGGGTTATTACCTTTCATGTACAGATAATCATATTCAGCATGAAAAATTGATATTGTGGCCATCTTAAAAATTCCTTCTTGAGCAGAATTCAAGCTAATATATTAAAGGATTGGTTATTTCATCTATATTATCATTTATGCAGTGATGTTTTTACTACAACGTATATAATCTTGGCTTTTTATTTTGTAGGTTACCTCCTTCTCCATTTTTATTCATTTATATAAACCCTGAAGAGCAACTTCACCCCTTAAACATGTACCCTAAATGTGGACAAGTGTATCTTCATCTTGTCTCGATATGTGAGTCTGTCATGTCTGTAGTACATTGAATATACCGATGACTTGCAAATCATGAGTTTTCCAAAGGTCTCAAGTGCCTTCTTTCATATGATTTTTGAAATCCCCACTCCTCGGACAACATTCTCTGTCAAAATCCCCCCCGGCACAATAATGCGTGTAAAATTCCTTACCCTCTCCACATGGGAAGGTCTAATGTAAAATGTTGAATGGTTTATAACTTCAAAGAAAATATAATTTCAATGAAAAAGGTGGTAAAAGATGTGCCTGAATAAGCAATAAATCAATCAATCAACCCATTAATCAATCAATTCACCAATCAATGTAAATATAAATAAATGCATCATCAATAGTAATACTGATAGTTAGTAGTTTTTTACATGTAAATGTCTTCTTTTTCCTTCCTTTATAATTGTTATAATTTTTTGTTTGCACATGTACTTGACCTCAAGGGGTGTGAATGTACTTGAAGAATAAATAAATAAATAAGCAATAAATCCATCAATCAGTCAACTTATATTATTCAATCAAAATCCAACCTACTGTTGAGAAGAACATAGTGTAAAAGTACACGAGGGCAGCAACCCAGTAGCGCCTGTGGAGAGCTATTATGATGGCAGGTAAGAACATAAGATTGCTTAATGTAAGTAGAAGCACCCCTGTTAGTTGGTCAAT